ACAAATAAAGGGGAGATTATTCTACCGGTGAATATGGATAGAACAATTCAAGACACCAAGTTCTATGTAATCGAGGGTAACATGAGATACAATGCCCTGCTCAGAAGACCTTGGATCCACAATATGAGGGCAGTCCCTTTGACCCTCCACCAAGTGATAAAAATAGTATACGGGGAATAGCATGCTGCAAAGGAAATGTTTGCGGTCTATGAGGTAACATTGATATCGACACTATCAACCTTGGAAAGGTCGAGCATCAAAGGTAAAGAGGAAGTCAAATAGAAATCACAGCCATCAGGCTCGACCGAATCGGGGAAGTAGGAGATAGAAGAAGAAGAGGAGGACTTTCTAACCCCTCGAAATCAACGGTCGAAGAGCTAGAATAGGTTATATTGATCGAGTACCGGCCCGAGCTAAAGGTATACCTGGGAATGGGATTAACCCCCGAACTCAGAAAAAGGTTTATTCAATTTCTTATTGATAACATAGATTGTTTTGCTTGGTCCCATTTAGACATGACAGGGATCCCACCGAAGATAACGACGCATCCGCTAAGCCTGGACCCCGGGTTCAAACCGGTGAAGAAAAAGAGGAGACCACAGTCCGAGATAATGCACGCATTCATAAAGGATGAGGTAACTAAACTTCTCAAAATGGGATCCATTCGGGAGGTAAAATATCCCGAATGGTTAGCTAATATAGTTGTAGTCCCTAAAAAAGGGAACAAACATAGAATATGTGTAGATTATAATGATTTAAACAAGGCGTGACCCAAATATTCTTTTCCACTACCTAACATCGATCGCATGATCGATGCCACGGCCGGCCACGATATCCTTACTTTTCTCGATGCCTATTCCGGGACCAAGAAAAGACTTCATTTATCACCAAGTATGGAACATATTGTTATAATGTAATGCCCTTTGGGCTAAAAAATACAGGAGCTACTTACCAACGCCTAGTAAATAAAATATTCGAAGAACAAATAGGTAAATCAATGGAAGTTTATATTGACGATATGCTAGTTAAGTCCCTGCGCGCAGAGGAACATTTGGTTCATTTGCAGGAAACATTCGAGATTTTAAGGAAATACAACATGAAGCTCAACCCCGAGAAATGGGCTTTCGGGGTCGGTTCGGTCAAGTTCCTTGGCTTCATGGTATCGAATTGGAGGATCGAAATCAACCCCGATAAAACCAAGGCCATCGAAGACATCACCATCGTGGATAGTGTAAAAGCCATACAGAAGCTAACCAGACGAATAGCTGCCTTAGGCCGATTCATTTCAAGATCGTCAGATTGAAGCCACCAATTTTTCTCTCTACTCAAAAAGAAGAACGATTTCGCCTCGACCCCGGAATGCCAACAGGCATTAGAGGAATTGAAGCGATACCTATCGAGCCCACCACTGCTTCACACTCTGAAGGCAGATGAGAAACTTTACTTGTACTTGGAAGTATCGGAAATAGCGGTAAGTGATGTCCTAGTTCGAGAGGAGCAAGGTACGCAATTTCCTGTTTATTATATAAGTCGAACCTTAGGGGAAGCAGAAACTAGATATCCTCACTTAGAGAAATTGACACTTGTACTCATAAGCGCCTCTAGAAAGTTAAGACCATACTTTCAATGTCACCCCATATGCGTATTAACCATTTACCCACTTCGTAATATTTTGCACAAGCCCGAACTATCGGGCCGATTGGCCAAATGGGCCGTCGAACTCAGCGGGTACGATATCGAATATCAACCCCGGACAGCTATCAAGTCTCAAATTTTAGCGGACTTCGTGGCTGCCTTCACGCCAACCCTCGTACCCGAAGTTGAAAATGAACTCTTATTAAAGTAGGGTATATCATCGGGGGTATGGACCCTCTTCATTGACGGTGCCTCGAATGTGAAGGGGTCTGGGTTAAGCATCGTTTTGAAGCCGCCCACGGGTAGCACTATTAGGGTTTCTATCAAAACTTCTAAGATGACTAACAATAAGACCGAGTACGAGTCCAGATTGCAGGTCTCGAACTAGCTAAAAGCTTGGGAGCAGAAGTCATTGAAGCCAAGCGTGACTCTTTACTGGTGGTAAACCAAGTAAACAAAACCTTCAAAGTTTGAGAGGATAGAATGCAATGGTATTTGGACAAACTGCAGGTAACTTTGCACCGTTTCAAAGAATGAACTTTACATCATGTACCTCGAGAACAAAACAGTGAGGCCGATGCACTTCCAAATTTAGGGTCATCAGTCGAGGAAGACGAGATCAGCTCGGGGACTGTCATTGAACTCTCGAGATCCGTGATCGGGGAAGGTCATGCCGAGATAAACTCTACGAGCTTAACCTGGGATTGGAGGAATAAATATATTGAATACTTGAAGAACGGAAAGATCCCATCAAACCCTAAAGAATCGAGGACCCTACAAATCAAAGCTGCTCGATTCACATTGGCTGAAGATGGAACATTATACAGAAGGAAATTCGATGGACTATTGGCAGTATGCTTAGGACCAGGAGACACCGATTATGTTTTACGAGAGATCCATGATGGCACTTATGGGAACCACACCGGCACCGAATCACTGGTACAAAAAATCATTAGAGCGGGATATTACTGGGATAGCATAGAAAAAGACACTAAGGAGTTTGTTCGAAAATGTGATAAATGTCAAAGGTTTGCACCGATGATCCATCAGCCCGGAGAATAACTTCATTCAGTCTTATCCCCATGGCCATTCATAAAATGGTGGATGTACATCGTCGGCCCTCTGCTATCGGCCACAGGTAAAGCTAAGTTCATTTTATTTATGACTGACTATTTCTCTAAATGGGCTGAGGCACAGGCGTTCGAGAAAGTGAGAGAGAAAGAGGTTATAGACTTCATCTGGGATCACATCGTATGTCAATTTGGGATACCCGCCGAAATAGTATGTGACACTGGAAAACAATTTATCGGCAGTAAGGTGACGAAATTCCTCGAAGACCATAAAATAAAAAAGGATATTAACAATGCCGTATCACCCTAGTGGGAATGGACAGGCCGAATTGACGAACAAGACTATCATTCAAAACATAAAGAAAAGGTTGAACGACGCTAAAGGGAAATGGAGAGAAATTTTACCCGAAGTCCTTTGGGCATATCGAACAACATCAAAATCCAGTACGGGGGCATCTTCGTTCTCTTTAGTATATAGCTCTGAGGCCTTGATTCCAGTCGAAGTCGGGGAACCCAGTTCCAGGTTTTGACATACAACAGAATAGTCAAATCACGAGGCTATGAATACTAGCCTCGAATTATTGGATGAAAAGTGAGAAGCCGCTCTCATCCGATTGGCCGCCCAAAAATAGCAGATCGAAAGATACTATAATCGAAGAACCAATCTTCTCCATTTTAAAACCGGGGACTTAGTGCTAAGGAAAGTCACCCTCAACACCCGAAATTCAAATGAAGGAAAACTGGGTCTAAACTGGGAAGGACCGTATCGGGTACTCGAACCATCGGTAAAGGATCCTACAAGCTCTGTGTTATAAACGACAAACAACTACCAAGCAATTGAAACGTGTCGTACCTAAAATGATACTACTACTAAGGTATGACCCTCCCATGTTCATTTATATTTTGAAACTAACCCTTACAGGAGTTCGACCAAGAACAAGAATGGGTTATTCAACACAAAGCCTTAGGCCTGAAAGCACATGTTGCACTCTTTTTCTCTTAGACCGATTTTATCCCAGATGAGTTTTTCGGCAAGGTTTTTAATGAGGCAACCATTGATCGTGCTAACTTAGAATAATTCAACAGTATCCGAGGCCTCTTTACAATCAAGCTCAAATACTGGGGGGCGTTACCCTCAAATATATCAAGTTCATATGTCAAGTTCGATGCAAGAAAGTTACTTCATAACAACAGGGTTTCGATAGGAAAAATTGTAAGAGCCAAATGGTCAAAACGAACCATGCTCGTGTAGGTTGCTCGATCCCTAGTACAAAACATGAACACATGTACAATTACATAAAAGAAACATCTTCTTTGCCGATATCTCATGTCTCAAAACTCATCCTCTATTTCATGATCTATTATGCAAACAAGTTTGAGGATCAACCATTACCCCATTAATCGGGGACTGCCAACCGATAAATCAATGAGGCCAAGCCCCACACTAAGCCTATGGGCTACCTTACTTCGAGTTCGAGCAAAGCCCTCACACGACTACTAAGCCTACGGGCTACCTTACTTCGAGTTTGAGCAAATCACTCACTCGACTAATAAAACCTACGAGCTACCTTCCTTTGAGTTCGAGCAATCACTCACTCAACTATTAAGCCTACGGGCTACCTTACTTCGAGTTCAAGAAAAGCACTCACTCGACTAATAAAGCCTACGGGCTACCTTTCTTCAAGTTCGAGCAATCACTCACTCGACTATTAAGCCTACGGGCTACCTTACTTCGAGTTCGAGCAAAGCACTCACTCGACTAATAAAGCCTACGAGCTACCTTCCTTCGAGTTCGAGCAATCACTCACTCGACTATTAAGCCTATGAGAGCAAAGTACTCACTCGACTAATAAAGCCTACGGGCTACCTTCCTTCGAGTTCGAGCAATCACTCACTTGACTATTAAGCCTACGGGCTACCTTACTTTGAGTTCGAGAAAAACACTCACTCGACCAATAATAGCCTAAGGGCTACTCTTACTTCGAGTTCGAGCAAAGCACTCACTCGACTAATAAAGTCTACGGGCTACTTTTCTTCGAGTTCGAGCGATCACTCACTCGAATATAAAGCCTACGGGCTACCTTTGTTCGAGTTCAAGCAATCACTCACTTGACTACTAAGCCTAAGGGCTAACAATTATTCTAAGTTTGAGCAAAGCACTCACTCGGTTATAAAGACTACAAGGTCTGAATTCGATCAAAATGCCTAAAGCCTCGAATTTATGGAAATTTTCATAAGGCATGAATGAAACAAGATCTTCACAAGGCAGAAAATAAAACAAAGACAAGTCGGGAAAGGAAAATATCTTTATATATATACAAGAGTGTTTACAACGTCCGAACAGGACCCTACACAAAAAATAGGAAAAAACACTCTAAGTCTCCTGGTTATCTCCGGAGGCGGTCTCTTCTCCATCGAGCTCCTCCCCGCTCTCAGACCCACTCTTGCTACCATCATCATCATCGTCATCATTGGCTTAGAGCTCTTTAGCCCTTTTTATCTCCTCAGTGAGTTCGAAACCTCGAACATGGATCTCCTCGAGGGTCACCCTCCGAGATTGGCATTTGGCAAGTTCAGCAACCCAATGTGCTCGAGTTTTAGTGGTCTCGGCTGCCTCTCTTGCTTGTACCTGAGCAGCTTCTGCATCAGCCTGATAGACAGCCACGAATGCATCCACGTTGGCCCTTGCTTTTTCGGCGTCAGATTTGGCCTTGGCAAGTTTGGAGGCCAACAGTTCCTCGAGCTCCTCTATTTTTCTTGCTTGAACCGAGCTCTTCTCCTTCATGCTTTGAAGTTAGTTTTCGGGTGATGATAATTGGGTCGAGCAGTTTCTTTTTCTGCGGCAAGACGGTGCATGCCATCTTTTCATCCCAAGGTATCTGCCCTTATCATATCGACCTCCTCACGAAGCTTCCCAATCATCTCAAGCTTCTGCTGCAGCTGTGAGATCGAAATATTAGCCACCGTTCCAGAATCGAGCCCATGGGTTTTTAAGATTATCATTACCTGCTCGGTCAGGTCAGTCTGGTCTTGATGAGCCTTGGCCAATTCAGCTCAAAGGTCCTTAATTTCATCTTTCCTTTGTTCGAAGAGGAGTCTAAGGGCATTCCTCTCCTCCGTGACCTGTCGAAGGTCGGCCTCGTACCGACGCAGCTCAGCTCCAGATTGAGAACATGCTTCTCGATGAACCGCTGCGACCTACAAAGAAAGAAGAAAAGAAGTTAGAAAAGAATAGCAAATATGAAAGTGGTATCAACGAAGGGAGTTAGAGCTTACCCGATTCAGAGCTTGTTGCACTTCACAGAAAAGGCCTGACATATCACTAGGGCCAGCAACATCCTCGACACCAGTAAACAAATCACGGAAGGGGTCCTCCCCTTCATGAGACCGGTCTACCTCGAGGGCCCCCAAAGCTTGGGCTTCCCGAATCGCCCCTTTGGAAAAAGAAGGGAGAGTGGACGAGTCTCCGATTATTATTGCCCTAAGCGACTCGCTTGGGTCGTTCTCCTCAGTTTCGAGAGCTTCAGGACCGTCCCTTTCAGATATACCCACCGTTTGTTGACTTCGGTGGGAAGCATCCTCGATCTCTAATGATTTGGGGATTCTACCCGAATCTTTCTTCGATATCCCCTCAGTTCGAGGCGGAGCTTCATAAACCATCATCGATCCAGCTGCCATTAGGGCATCGATGTTTTTCTTCACTCGGGCTACCAGTACGGACCCGTCAACTTCTTCTTCTTCTTCGTCTCTATCCCTCAGACGTCGAACGGATTCTTCGGTGAGAGGGATAATTTTCCTCCTCGGCTTACGAGCCGTCCTTGTCTTGGATTCTGGATCCTCAGAAGTAGAGGCCCTTTTTCTCTTATTGTCCTTCGTCAGTTTCAAAACTGGGGCCGAAGTCTCTTTCTCACCAGACGGGGGCCTCATGACCGCATCTTTGCCCAAGCCTACGTACAAGAAAATTGGTTAAGTATATGGAAAACATTCTGTTCAAACCAACAATGGCATGGAAAATAGGCTTACCATGATTTTTGGCCTCCCATCAGCCCTTTGACAAATCACACCACGAGCGCTCAGCATATATAGAGGTCGAAGCCAGGGCCTGTACCCAACTCTTAAGGTCAAAAATAGCACCGGGCATCCAAGCTACCACTATATCACGAAACAAAATAGATATCAGGGAGAAAGAGACGAAGGAGCAAAGCAATAAAAGCTAACAGTCAAAATATACTTACGCTTCATGTTCCACTCCTCAGGGAATGGAATCTGCTCGGCCGAGATTAGATCGGAGGTCTTCACTCGAACGAACCTGCCCATCCAACCCCGGTCCTTGTCCTCGTCTATGCTCGAGAAGAGCACTTTGTTAGCCCGGCGCTGGAGTTTTATTTGCCCACCTCGATAGAGGCGGGGGCTATACAGTCTAATAAGATGGTCGAGGGTGAAAGGCATCCCCTCGATCTTGTTCACAAAAAAGTGGATCAGAATAACGATCCGCCAAAAGGAAGGATGGATTTGGCCTAGGGTTATTTGGTATTGACGGTAAAAATCGATAATGACAGGGTCGAAAGGGCCCAATGTGAAAGGGTAAGTATACACACTTAAAAACCCTTTCACATAAGTAGTAATATCTTCTTCGGGAGCCGAGATTATCACTTCTATTTTCTCCCAATTACAATCTTTTCTCAGCTGCTCGAGGTGTCCCTTAGTTATCGAGCAGATATACCTCGATACTGGTTCACATCGACCAGGCACCGACGAGGCTTTATCGACCTTAAAATTGGAGATAAGAACACATGCCCTTGGAACACACTTCTCAGGCCGTGGTTCCACCGGTGTATTGACGGCGGCAGACTGTGAAGAAGAAGTTTTTTCTTTGTGAGGAACGATTTTTGATGTTTTCGCCATTTTGGATTTAAATATCGAAAAAGGAAGGAGATAACAAAGATCTAATATTTTAAAGAAATATTTTGCAGTAAAAATCACAGAAGAAAGATTTTTGCAGTGCAAAATCACAGATTTACAGATGAACTCAGAAGATGCAAGAAAGAACTTTAGAAAATTTGGAGATTCGAGATGTAAAAGTGATAAATGGTAAAGAAAGGGGCTATTTATAGATTGAGCAATGTTGGTTCAGTATCAACAGTGGCCGACCATCGTCTGACACGCATTAAATGCCTTGGTAAACTAAACCGACGGGACAGCTATCACGTACGTCATGATTGAACTCAATGCAAACGTCAGTATATATCTAATCGTACTGTTGGAAAATTATGTCGTTTCTCGCTATATCCTTCCCGAGAAACGAGGGGACTATCTGTATACGGTCAAAATCGAGTTCGACCTTCGAACGACTGGTCGAGATGGAAACATAATGGACCGAAGAGCGTCTTCATAATATCGGGATGAGATCCGAAGCCAGGTTATCGAGCTTCGAGTTTCAGGGGCCGATCAATTCCGAGCTCGAAGTCATTATCGAGCTCGAAGCCAAAATCGAACTATGATGCGAAGCGATGTTATCGAGCTTAAGAGTCAAAGACCGACCAATACTGAGCCCGAATTAATACCGGGCCCCGAGTCAAAATCGAGCTCGAGTCAAAATCGAGCTCGGGTCAATATCGAGCTCATAGACAAGAGTCGTTACAGCCGCACTAAGAAAGGGAATCTCGACGGAAACTAGGGAAAAGCTGATTTATCATGGATTTTCCACTATGTATTTTTAATTATATCTAAAGTAGGATCCCTCCACTATAAGAGGGATGGCTATTATTCCTGTAAAAGGGATCCATCAAGTGATTCATACACTGTAACTAAAATACTATTGATACATTCCTATATTGGAAGATTATCCTTTGGAGCTTCATACATCATTTTATCTTGCTTGTTCATAAATCATCCTCTTTTCAACTTTGCTTATTTTTCATCCTTTACAGTCAATATTTGATATTTTTATTTTCCTTTACGATTCATGTCAAGTTATACCACGTATCCTTAGAACTACATACAAATTTAACTCTATCCATTTTTCGGGTAAACAGTAACATAAATTGAAATGACAAAAACTTGAGAGGAAAAAAAGGGGAAAAAGTTATGGAAAAGATAAAATCAATTCGTGATCAATGAGACTTACCATATAAATGGAAGAATCCACAATTATTCATATATAGATAGATGGATGGACTGATTTTTTTGTTGTTATAAGTAAACTAAATATATATTAATCCTTGTGCCGTAGCTAAAAGATTTACCAAAAAAAATGCTATTTTATAAATGAAAGAAGGAGAAGTTACTAAGAAAAAGGACAATAAAAGGAAATATGAACACACCACAGATTAGTTAGCCTTGAACCTCCGTGAAGGGCATCTGAAAACATAGAAAATCAAAAAGGTTAAATACCATAAACACAAAGTAAGGTAATAACTGCCATAGCCGCCTCACTTTATTATTTTTAGAGAACAAAGTTGATAATTTAACATGATCAAGAAAACAATCAACAAAAATGAAAGCATATGTTTTGGTGAGTGAGTTAATGAAAATGAGAAAGAATCTAGGAGGTTAAGAGAAAGAAACCTCCACCTTGGGAATACGTAACCCTTTGAAAGGAAAGTAACTCCTCTAAAAACTTTCATGTCATACTCACAGTTGCCTCAATCTCATATTTACACAACACCACTTATAGTTTGAATAGAGACATAACTCATACGTTACATTCCTTCGGGGTTACANTAAGGAAAATATATATATATATATATATATATATATATATATATATATATATATATATATCCTTATATTCGCTTTCTGTTTACTATCTTTTTGGGCATTTTCTTTTAATTAAAACCTTCTTTTTCCTTAAACTTTGTAGTTACGTTTCATTGCAAAATACGGAAACAACATAAATGTCACGATCCGAAATTTTTACCTTTGGGATCTTGATGACACTTAACATTTCACTTGCTAGGCACGCCAACGTTAGAAATAGTTTTTAGCAATTTTTTAACAATTCAAATTAAATGATAACCAAGAAACTGAATAAATTAAAAAAGAGTGAGTAAACTAAAATAACAGCGATATCCAGATACAATTCCAGAACTGGTGTCACAAGTACACGAGCGACTAGAGTACTATAAATAAAAGTCTGAATGAAAGCATAATTGTCTGAAATAAAGTAAACATCTAGAGTGATGTAGAAGGGGACTTCAGGGCTGCGAACGCCATGCAGATGTACCTCAAGTCTCCATCAGGCACCGGATCCGAGTAATCTACTGACCGCCGATGGGACCGACTCCAAAATCTGCACAAAACGTGCAGAGTGTAGTATGAGTACAACCGACCCCATGTACTCTGTAATTGCCGAGCTTAATCTCGACTAAGTAGTGACAAGGCTAAGGCGGGTCACTTACAATAACATATACGCAGTATGGTAGTAGTAATAATAATAATAATAATAATAATAATAATAATAATAATAATAATAATAATAATAACAATAATAATAACAATAATAATAAAAATAATAATAATAATAATAATAATAATAATAATAATAATAATAATAATAACAATAACAATAATAACAATAATAATAATAATAATAATAATAATAATAATAACAATAAGAATAACAATAACAATAATAATAACAATAATAATAACAATAATAATAATAATAATAATAATAACAATAATAATAATAATAATAATAATAATAATAATAATAATAAAAGGAAAACAGGAAAGGTATGGAAGTCAACTTATGAAAAAAAATTCAACTCTTGTAATCAGAGAACCCGAAATAACCGATCTCGTAATTTCATGTAGCAACACTGGAAATCAACACAATAACAACGATGAATACAAAATACACAATCTGTTGCGGCTCTCAACCCGATCCCGCTGTATAACACAATCCTCCCTTATCTCACCAAATCAATATCAAGCGTAACATATAAAATTCGTTGCGGCGCGTAACCCGATTCCACCATATAATCATAATCAATATCATAATCCTCCCTTATTTCACCATATAAATATCAAAATCACATGTAAAATCTGTTGCGGCATGCAACCCGATCCCACCATATCAATATCAAATCCTCCCTTATTCCACCATATCACAACCGTTGCGGCGTGCAACCCAATTCATAAACAAATTCAATAAATGTAATCAATCCAACACTCAATTCACAAGAATCTCTATGATTAATGAATATGAAGCAAAGCAATAAAGTAACCCCATACCAAATCAAGGAATGCTATAATTAATACAAAGCAACAAGACAAGCCAAATATATGACATTTAAAGTGTACAAATAAGACAATTAAGGTAAGTAGCAATTAATGATGGAATCAAGGAAGAAACAAAAATTCCAATACAAGAGTAAGTAAATGACAAGTAGCAAATTACGACATAGAAAGCAATTTAAAGTATGTAACAGTTAAGATATAGAATAAGATAATTAATGAAATACGGGAAAGCATGGAAACAATCATTTTGACGGCGTATATACACTCGTCACCTCGCATATACACTGTTACACACGTAATTCACATAACATATAGTTCAAGGGCTCCTAATTCCCTGAAATCAAGGTTAGACCCAACACTTACCTCGCTTCGCAATTAAATCAAAGCTCTACCGGGGCTTTTCCTCTAAAATCCGCCTCCAAACTAATCGAATCTAACCAAAATCGACTCAATATTATCAAACAATGCTAGGGAAATATATTACAATAGATAAAGCAAGGATCTTTACACTTTTTTCAAAAAGTTAACAAAAGTCAATCCCAGGCTCGCTTGGTCAAAACTCGAGATTCAGACTAAAACTCAATTAACCATTCACCCACGAGCTCGATTATGTGATTAGTTTCGAAATCCGACCTCAATTTGATATTTAAATCTCAATTTTACAAAATCCCAAATTTTTACCCAAATCCCTAATTTCAACCATGAAAATCCTAGATTTAATGTTGAAAATATTTGGAAAGTAATGAGTAATTGAAAAGAAATGGATTAAAGTTGCTTACCAATATTTTTGGGAAGAAAAGCCTCTTAGAAAATCACCTCTAGGGTATTTAGGGTTGAGAGTTTGTAAGAAATAAGTTAAATCCCGTTTTTCTCAAATCAACTCCGTTTTGCACCAAATATTGCAGACAAGTCATAAATAGTGAAATGAACTTATACCAAGTTCCGAAACCGAAATCTGAACCCGGTAGCAACAAAGTCAACCTAAGGTCAAACTTAGGAATTCTTTTAGCCTTCAAATTACTAATTTTCAACAAATTACGTTAAATCAAGTTAAGGACTTCCGAATTCGATTTTGGATATACTCCCAAGTCTCAAATCACGATATAGATTCACCGGGACCGTCAAAACACTAATTCGAGGCTGTTTACATAAAGTATTGACCGTAGTCAACTCAATTCATTTTCTTAAGGTTAAATTTCACATTTTCATTAATTTTTCACATAAAAAATTTGGGAAAAGACAAGGACTGCACATACAAATCGAGAAAGGCTAAACAAAGCTATTCGAGATCTCAGAATACAGAAATGAAGGCTAAAACTCAAAGTGACCTATCGGGTCATCACAATAAAGAGGACACAAAGTGGAGTAACATATTTGATAAAGAGCATGAAAATGAGAAGCATCATTGTGAACAATGGCAGAGTCAGAATTTTCACCAAAGGATATCAAAATATAAAAATATGAATACACTAAAAAATTTAGAGGAGTCAACGTAGTAAATATACATAAAACAGAAAAATGTATCTACCAATACAATATCATTTTCCGGCGAAGGGGTGTCGATTAACACCCCTTGATTGAATGTGGCTCTTCCACTGATTGAGAAGAATATCATTATGCTTTCATTTGACTATCAAAATGTGGACAGTTGTCCAATGTAGCTCTACTTATATACTCTTCCCCAGTTTCATTCAGAGGCGGATTCAGGTTTTGAAATTTATGAGTTTTAAAATTCATAGCTCGTTTTATTTATTGAATTTATAATTAAATATTTATGCATAATATTTAATGAATTTTCTAATATAAATGAAGGATCAAAGCAAAAACTGTTGAGTTCGTTCCAAATCATAGTTAAAAAAAATGTACCGAATGTTATATATAGCTTCGTCCCGGTTCTAGGTATGATAGTAAAGATGGCAAAAGCTGGGAAATTCGTACATAGAATTTTCATCAGAATTCAAAAGGTAGAAAATTACTTGTTTATTGACAAGGAAACTATTTATTATGCTTTTTCCAGACTCTGCCTTGTCTGTATTCCTTATATTTATTGTTTACCCAAAAATCGGATAACAATTGAATTTATACGTGGTTTTAAGGATGCGTGATCTAATTTGATACAAAGCAAGAAATCAAATTTAATATGGAAGAATAACTAGAAAAACAAATACAAACCATGCATATTGAACAACTTAAACCTTCCAAGGTTAATTTCCTTCGAATTTAGATGTGATATTATTAAAACCAGAATAATATGAACAAAGCTAAAAAAATGGTATCTTGTACTATTAAGTATGTTACAATATGTTACCATGAATTACTCGGTTGCCTTTATATATTGAGGGAGATGAAGCTTTTAAACCATTATTTTATAAGAAATTGTGTAGACCGTTGGCTCTTTTTTGACTTAATTTTGTGATTTTTTCCATCATGATTGATTAATGGCGAGAATCATGGATCCTTGTCGAATGAGTTGGCGAAACTTTTCCTCGAAGTCGTTAGAAGCAGGATCGGTCGCACCTTTAGTAAACTCGAGGGCAAGTCTGCAGGTCTTTGTCGAACTTCAAACCTCGATATCGGGCTCGGTTTCATGTGTAACTTTCATCTATTGCAGATGTGTCGAACCTGGTCTATTGTTCCACATGCTCGATCAAGCATCGAGCTCGGTTTTACCCATATACAGATAGTCCCCTTATTTTTTTGGAGAGT